GACTTTGAAATCAAAAGTGTCAAAGGAACTCAAAATGTAATAGCTGACGACTTATCAAGAAGAACAGAAGATTGAAGAAGAAGAAAAAGGACTATATTAAAATGAAACTGTAATGGTATGAAAAGTGTTCAAATTAAATGTTATAAAAGTGTACTTGAACAATTTTTCATGTCATTTCTGCCTCCCTTCCTGCTGTTAGTCAAATCTTTATGTGACACTGCCAGATTTTCATTGAAATTCACATATGTTAAACATAATCTATAATGACATATTAGAGGGGAGGTTCAAAATCATTTTAATCATATATTTGTGCTGTTGTAGTGATAAAAATCCATGTACACACTGCTTGGAGAAAGCTAAGTGCAGTTAAACAGTTTCTAGTGTTCAGGGAGAAATTAGTTGTGAATAATAATTACTATGCAATGTGTTGTATGACAATCCTAATGTATAACCACACCATCTGGACTACGACAACAAATCCAGTTTGTCAGTGATAAGAAATGATGTAGACGAATTTGACCTATCAATGTATTGATCCCTTTAGCAACTATGTGACTTTTATGGTAAGTATACAGTATTTGCAAATGCTGGCAGAGCCAAGAAAGAGAACATGCCATGATATCTTCTTGCAGAATCAAAATTGTGACATGCTCTTTTAGAGGTTCCTCCAGTGCGCGCGCACACACAGACCATATCTGTCATGTTAGGTCTTTATTCAAATCTAGGAGCATCTGTTTGCCCTGAACTCCTCTTACAAAGCATTGCTATGGTAGTGAGGATCATTATGATGTTGACCTCCTTTCATATCTTAAAATGATTCCTAAACACATTCACCTAAAATGGCTCATAATTTAAATGATTTCTAACCATATTATGATACAATCACAGTACATGTACATATATTCGTGAACACTGAATGATCTTGGCTGTCTTTTGACATTTGAAGAAAGTCCATTCAGTGAGGATACAACTCAAGATAGACACAAACCTTTTACTGCCCTAGCTGAAAGATGGAGGAATTATTGGTCAATTATTATAGAAGAGCTTGACATGATTAGAAGCAAACAGAAAGTGTCAAGGCTTCTTAAGAGCCTAAATATTGATTTAACTAAGAAGCTCACACATATCAGTTGCTTCCCCATTGCAGCATATTAGCTTCTCCTGAATGGTAAAGCCAGACAATGTGCAAATAAGACAAAAATCCAGCGAGAGAAGCAGAGCAATAGAATAAATGAATAGTCAAGTTTACATCTCTGGAACTGGAAGAGACGGTTAGGAAATGCAATCACAGTAAAGCTGCTAGACAAGATGATATTGAGGTGGAACAAATTAAGCAATTTGGGTCAAAAATGAGTAGCTATTACATTTTAAAAATATTTTTCTTAAAAAGTAATCAAATTGCAACAACATGGCAGAACCCCCATGCAACTGTTATATTAAAGCCAGAAAAAAGAACAAGACTATCCTAGAAACTACAGGCTGATTTCATTACTCTGTCACCTATATCAAATGTTTGAAATAATACTACTGAAGTGATTAATACCCAAAACTGGACTGGTCCTTATCCCTAAACAAACAGGCTTTTAGGGTCAGCTCGTAAATTTACTTCAGAATATAGAAACATATTTTCAAACATATATATTTACAGGAATATGATACCATACAATACCATTCATCATCAAATAATGTTGAATAACCTGTACTATCTTGCCAAAAGTTATGCACTTATAAAAATTGTACACACACCCCATTCAGAATCAGGATTGAGCCTTGTGGCACACCATTTCTTACCTCCTCCCAGTTTGAGAAGGAGCAATGGATAAGCACTTTCAGCACTGTCTCTTGTTTAATTTCGGATGATCTCATCATGGGATTTTCAGCATATAAAATATTCAGAAGTGGTTTATCATTGCCTTTATCTGCTTAGTGTTAACTCATTTTGTGCTATTTCTTTAAAGATAAAAAAGGTAAAGATTCCCCTTGACAATTTTTGTCCAGTCGTGTCCGACTCTAGGGGGCGGCGCTCATCCCGCTCTTCAAGCCATAGAGCCAGCGTTTGTCCGAAGACAATCTTTCCGTGGTCACATGGCCAGTGTGATTTAGACACGGAACGCTGTTTACCTTCCCACCGAGATGGTACCTATTTATCTACTCGCATTTGCATGCTTTCGAACCGCTAGGTTGGCGGGAGCTGGGACAAGCAACGGGCGCTCACTCCGTCGCGTGGATTCGATCTTACGACTGCTTGGTCTTCTGACCCTGCAGCACAGGCTTCTGCGGCTTAGCCCACAGCGCCACCACGTCCTTAAAGATGCTCTGGCATTATTCCCTTCCACTACTGCTGGTGCTGGCTCCAATCTCTTCACTACAACTCTGATAGAGGTAGGCTATGTTAACTGGGCAGTCTTCCCTCCCCCAGCTAAAGATAAATTTTTTGAGTTTCAAAAAGGCAGAAAGGGAGAGAGGCAGATTGCGTGTGACTATTTTAAGAGATGGACCATAAATTCCCAATTGCTATACTTGACAGAACGCCTGCTTCCACCTAGATCTACTCGGATCACCCGCACGAGCCAGGAGGTGAGGCTGAGGAGCCTAATGGCGAGGGAGGCCCGGAAAGAAAGGACACAAAACCGGGCCTTCTCAGAGGTGGCTCCTCGCCTCTGGAACAATTTCCCTCCTGAGATCCATGCGGCCCCCACTTTGAACACTTTTAAAAGTCAATTAAAACATGGCTATACATTCAGGCCTTCCCTCCAGTTAATATCTGACTTTTCTGTTTATTCTCTCCTTATGTATTTTCTATTCTATTGTTGTATTCTGTTTATGATTTATGTAATTGTTTGTGTTTTTTGTATTATTTCACTGTTTTTACTATATTGGAAGCCGCCTAGAGTGGTCTTTTAGACCAGATGGGCGGGGTATAACTCAAATAAATAAATAAAATAAATAAATAAAATAGGTGAAGAAGAGCTTTGAAACCAATATGCATGGTGCAGTTATTTCCATCTAAGATTCTTACCTGGCCTCTACACCATCAGCCATGTGAATTTGGAACATTAAAAACAGCACATAAGTTTGGAACTGTCCACAAGAACTTGATGCACAGCCTTGAAGATTTATCATTGAAAGCTCGCTATTTGTTTTTGTTTTTATATTCTTAATGGTTGATTAAAGTTATTACCTGCTCCTGAACAAGTTAAGATGTACATTCAAGAGAGTGACTATTGAATTACATTCATGTATATTCTGCTTTGATGCTTTATTTTATATTCAGCATGGAGGTGAGAAGGGTGGTGATTGTGATGGTGATGATGATGATGCCAATGCCATAGTGCTGACAACACACATTTTAAAACTGTTATGTCTTCCTCTTTGTTAATATTATAAAACCTTGCCTAAAGCTTTTTTTTCCTATATGAAGGAATAATTTTTCTGTATGAGAGACTGCTTTTCTCAGGGATCTTTATATTATAACAACATTGTAACAGACAGCTCTTTCACAGGATAATAAACCTCAAGTTGGAGCAAGGCCATCTTGGGAAGAAAATTGTTTCTTGTGATAAAGATGTACAGTCAACAAGTGACATATAATCTGGTGCCTTTAACAGTCAGATCATTTGTATTTTGATATTGTATGCTGACGTTAACCAGTTCTTCTGTTCATTTAGGAAAAAAATTGGAGAAAGTCTTTAATAACAACTCTTCTATTTTTCTTTGGAGCAGTGTGTGTAGATTTATTTACACAATGAATCAACAAATCTACATATGCACATATGAACTACAGCTAGCAAAAGTGGGAACAAGTGGATGCATTTCAGAGTCCATCTAAAATCATTTTAAATGCATTATTATTTTGTAATGAACTGGCTCAAATATCCTCTGCTCTTAGTTGCTGTCTACATCAAATGTGCATTCACTTTTTTGGCTACTATCTGTCCCCTACAAGAATAAAATAAAGGAAAAGTTTTCTTCAGAACATCTATGAATCTTGAAGGAATAAAAAAGACTGCCAGGACTATAATGGGGAAAGAAAGAACTGCTCATCTCTTGAAATGGATGGAACACCAGAAACATTTAAATCCTGCCACACAGAGTAACAAGGTTACTTGGAAGTCACTTAGTAGGCTAATGAGTAGAGTTGGCAGAACAAAAGTGAACCCAAGAAAATGGACTTTTTACACTGACAGCCCTTTGCAAGTGCAGAGAGAAACAGGCAACTTCACATTAGAGATGGGCATCAACCAGAAAAATGACAAATCAAGGCTGTTCATGGCTTTGAACCATGAACTACCCCCAAACCCTGGAAAAAATTGGTTTGTGATTTGGGTTTTTTGTTTGGTTGTTTGTTTTTTGCTTTGTGGCTGGAGAGAGGGGAATCTAACACCCCCAACCCCTGCCCCCGTTACTTCCCTATCTGCTCCTGCTGTCTCCTCCTCTGCCCACTATCTTCAGAGACAGCAGGCTGCTGTCACTTCCAGGAGCTGGGCCACTGTTTCTGCACATACGCTGGCCTTTCACCTAATAGCTAGCCTGGTTCATAGTTTTTTCAGGGTCATAGTTTAGTTCATACCCATCTCTACTTCAAACCTGTGTCAGTGTATTCCATACCTCTCAACATGTACAATGGAAGACTTGATGTTAGCTATCCCAGATATTTTTATGTTATTGGGCAAAAACTATCTGATATATTTATTATTTGTGCTGTCGTGCTCCTGATGTGAACAAAGAAAGAAGCTTCTTGCTGGACTCTGGAAACAACTGATTCTAAACAATCCCTGCTCATCCAATGATGAGTTCTCATTCATACAAACCATTTGGAAACTCTTTCTAAATAAAAATCTTCTCTTTATTGTTATTGTAAACAGGATTAGCCGCAGTAAAAGTTAAACAATAAATAAATAGAAAAATAACTGGAGTTTTCAAATTGTTAGGCTTATTTCTCATGCTGCATTCATTCATTTATTTTTCATTCATTATTCCACACTTTAGTTAATGCTTACCGATCAATAATGGCACACATATCAATGCTGACATTGGCAAAACTTCCCAGCTTTCCTTGCTCTACTGCATGCAAATCCACCAGTTGATCATCCACATGAATAAGCTGCATGCAGCCTTGGAATGATTGCTGGAGGAAACCTGTATTAAAAAATAATAATTGAGGGGGGGGGAGAGAATATATGTTAAGCAGATGCTTTGAGTGAAACCTTTTTAGTAGCCCATAAAGATGTATCTTCTTTGCCAAAATACCTCACTAAAATCAGCACTATTGTAAAAGAAAAGAAAAGAAAAAAGAATAGAAATAAGAAGAGAGAAGATGATTCTTGTGGTACACTTACTAGTCAATGCAAAAATTTTGACTTAAAATGCAAACTCACTAGAAATTGTGCAAACACACAATATATCCACTCAAAATGCAAACACACTAGATATCCACTACACCAGCATTATATGGGATCTTCATTATGCTCTTTATTCAGTTAAAAAATTACTATATGCAGCCATTTTGTAAGATGGCTGCCACAACCAAATTTGAGATGATCCAATAGATAGTTCAGTTCAAAATTTGTTATCCTATATCTCTTCTGAATTTTGTACTTTTATCAAAATTATGAGACACTCTGATGATGTGCAAAACACAATCCTAAAGAACAAACTTTAAAGATACCCTACCTTTCCTTTTCAAGTGACAATAAGTAAGAAGAAGGGCTAATTATATAAGAGCTATAGAAACAGTAATCATGAGTGTTCAGGAAGAAAAACAAAGTTAATATTCAATTAGATGATAAATAATTGCTACATTTCTGGTGTATTTCTCCTCATGGAGAATTTACACTTTGAAATATATTAATATGTAGTCAAAAGGAAAGTGGTAGAGAGAGAAACAAGAGGTTAAATTTACTAATCAGCAGTAGTTAGTCTGAAGCTATATACTTGACTGTCAATCGCACAACTTCTCTGCCTTTTCCTGCCCTAAGCAACCAGCCAATCAGGAGCTGTGTGCTGTCTGACAGTTCTGAAAGCATGATCTGCTACCAGGGTAACTATAGAAACAAACTGCACTGGAGCAAGGAGGAGAGAGGAAGGGAGGAGAAAAGGGAGAGTGAAAATTGAAGGAGAGCACATTGATTTTCTAAGTTTGTTCTGTCATCCAGCCTACCACAATGGCATCCATCGAGCAGAAGGCAGGGTTACCAAGCCATAACACCACACATGAGCAGATACTCAAGGAAGAAGAGGTAGGACTTGGGATTGTAGTGTGAATAAGAGTATGAGGGAGCAGATATGGCATCTACCAATTGTGTGGAAGCAGCAGCTTGATTCTGAGGATGGCATGCCATATAAAAGGACAAAAGGCAAAGAAATGTGATTTTAAGACAGCCATTCTCAATGGAACATCTGAATGGGACACAGATGGAAAACGATTCTTCACATACTACCATATAAGGTTCATTGTGCAACTTATACAACCCTGATTCAGCCTATATTTCTTCTGATATTGTGTTTTATGGCCATGGCCAAAAAAAGGTTCAAAGTGGCTGCTCTGCCACTAAGATGACTGTAGCTTGTTTACATATGGCAATGAGCTCAGTAAAATTTGCCAAAGTCCAAGTCTGAATATTTTACAAAAAGAGCTGCACAACTTTCCTTTCTAGTTTTGTATTTGACAGCCAAGTTTAATTAATGGCAGAAAAGAATAATTTAATTGGCATTTTCGGTTTTACTGCATGCTTTTCATTTAACATTTACCTTTCTTAAGCCCTTTGGAAGTGCTGTGCTGGAAACTGAACTAGCTAAATTATGGTTAGATCCCTGAGATTACTGGAACGCCTCTGAGGCACATCAATTGCTGAATTAAAAAGAAATTTCTACACATTTTCATAAAAGCTGTGCACAAACAACTTTTTGAAATTCTCCACCTGTTTAAGGGAAGAGGAGTGGGAGGGGAAATTTCAAATTTTGCAAGGCAAGGTGAAATTCTGAAAAAGTTTCTCAGAGGCAGAGTCCAATTTTTTGGCATTTTAAAATTTTTCCCAATTTTATTTTCTTTTTTTGCACAGCCAATTCACATGGCAACAATAGCAAACATGTCATCTGCCTAGTCACCATTTTGCATCCTCCATAACCCTCTACATAATGTTATTCTAGGGCACAGTGGCAATGATGGTGAGGACCCAGAAAGAAAAAGAAAAAGTACAATGGCCTTATATTTCTAGCACAGTAACACTAGAACAAAACAAAATTTAAAAAGATTTTAAAAAACCAAATACATGTTTCATTTTAAAGAACTGTATGCTGACAAAGTTTGGTTCAACACTTGTTATTCTTCAGTGTTTCATGCCTTCCTCAGCCCTTCCAAATATAACATTTCTGAACAGTCACTGTGCATACATTTTCTTCCTACTTCTGATAATTCAGCTGCTTCCTTTTAATCCCTATAGTGGGAATTAAGGAAGATAGTATTCATCCAGCTTTGGAAAAGGTGTGCCATAAACTGGAGGACATTTTTGGGTCCTTGCCTTTGATTGAAGTATGGTGAGTTTGAAGGCTACTGGCTGCCACAGAGGTAACTGCACCATCAACAAGATATGCACATTGTCTCCTCAGCTATCTCACAAGTAATGTATGCAGGGTAGTCTTGAATCTCACCCATGAGATATTTTCAAAACGTCTCTGCCTTCAAAATAACAATCTACATAGATAAAATACTTACAAATAGCATGGAAAACAAATTTAAATATCAATATACCAAAGGAAGTATGGATGGAAATATGGACCAGTTAACTTTATAAATCAATATCAGCTAGAGCAAAAGAAATGGTTTTAACAGTAGTCCATTAATGGCATTTGTGCCCCACAAAACTACACAAAATTAATTGAGAAATTCCAGAAATGCTGGAGAAATTGTGGAAAGAAGGGCACATTAGAACATATGTGGATTTCTCATCCCAAAATAGAAGCATACTGGCAGGAAATAATTAACTGGATAGAAGCCCTGACAATCAAAGAATGATCATAAATGAAACTTTATTATTATTCTCATTATTCACCACAGGAAAGGAGAAACTATCTCATTTTTTAATGAGAGTTAATTGTGAATCTTATTGTAGCAGCAAGATGTGAAATCACACAAAGTTGGAGAAATGCCCAAGACTTCTCATTAAAAAGATTTAGGAACAGAATTTGGCAAATAGTTTTGATAGGAAAACTTGCCAATCAGGCCAGAATATATAGAGGGGAAATTTAAAAAAGAAAAGAAAGAAAAACAATAAATTTATGAAAACCTGACAACCTTTATTAACATATACAGTAGTACTAAGTCAAATAAAGAGGAACATGCTATGGGAAATAATTTGGATTGTTGGTCTGTAATCTTTAAGGAGAATAAAGTTAGAATGTGAAACTAGCAGGTGCACAGATAAGGTAGTGAATTATTGTATAAGATGATTATATTGTATTATAATTTAAGTTGCTTTGCTATGTCATGGTTGCCATGAAATACATGGCTGTTAAGTGATAAAAAAAGGCAGTACTTACATAATAATGCATATCTGCCCAAACCTAAGTCTGCTGATTTCAGTGAGGCATTACTGTCATTCTCAGTGCATCCTGATTTTCACTTTTAGTGGAATTCAGATGCCTTTAGATTTCTCTAGATACGTTTATATATATGTATATGTGTGTGTGTGTGTGTGTGTGTGTGTGTGTGTGTGTGTGTGTGTGTGTGTGTGTGTGTGTGTGTGTGTGTGTGTAGAGAGAGAGAGAGAGAGAGAGAGTCAATTTTTTATTAATTGATTATTGTTGATTATTATAAAATTCTAATCCTATGAGTTGCCTTGGGCCCCCTGTAAACAAACAAACAAACATTTTTAAATGATATTCCTACATATGTTTCGCCAGGCCAGCAATCTGGTGAACTTTACCACATCATACAATCAGGTGCTATTAATGATAGGTCTCTTACCACTCAGAGTGGCCTTGGCAGCCAGATGAGTGGTATACAAATTAAGTAAGTAGGTAAGTAAGTAAGTAAGTAAGTAAGTAAGTAAGTAAGTAAGTAAGTAAGTAAGTAAGTAAGTAAGTAAGTAAGTAAGTAAGTAAGTAAGAAAGTAAGTAAGTAAGTAAGTAAGTGAATGAATGAATGAATGAATGAATGAATGAATGAATGAATGAAATGATTGCATGGGTATTGCCTTCCATTTAGAAATATCAGTCATTCTGTCAGGGCTTAGAAAAGTTACTATTAAAGATTTCAACTCCCACAATCCCTAATTAGTATGGCTATTGGCCATTTTGTTCAATCTTTAAACATAGTGCACAAAATAAAAATCTTAGGGATTGATGTATTATATAAGAAAGAACTTATAGTTTCCTATTCTTACCAGGGTAGGAGTCTCATATTTTCCTGGTATATTAATTATATTTTATTCCATTTCAGATGTTAGAGAAAGTTCAGGATTTTGTTAAACTGCTCAAAAGGTAAATAGATTTTAAAATTCTGTATTCAAACTGTGCACTATAGTGGCTAATAGCTGCTTTTCTTTCTAGAAATACAAAGCCTCAGGTGCAGCAAAGGTTTTGACACCCAGCTGAAAATGGAGATAGAAGGGAAAACCTCAGCTTGATGATAAACACAAAAATCTTCCAGTCCAATGGCCTGATTTAAGTCAGCTTCTGTGTTGGGTTTGAAAACCACATGAGAGCTTGTCTGTAGCATGCAGATAAGAACCATTTATCTGGAATGAATGGCAAATGATTATCAGCAAATTTATGATTGCTGCTGTTGCTTATTACTCATTGTTTACTTATGGACTTAAATCATGACATATTACCCCCCCCCCAGAAAGACAATATGAAAAATAAACATTACCTCCTCATTTTAAAAATGAGGACACAGTGGATTGCATAAATCCTCCAAGAAGTGAAAGGAAGACCAATTCGAATCTCATAGTCATTCTGACCTGCAAGATATCTTTCTAGCTTTGTTTATTGATTTATAACAACATTTGCACAAAACTTCTACCATGGACTTGTGACACAAATGTGTAAAAGTATTAAAAACGGAAAACAAGGAAAAACAAAAGACAAAACTATTTTGAATAATTTTATACTGCTTTTCTCCTATAAAAGGATCCAAGGAGGACCCAAATAAAACAAAAACAGTGCTAGAAAACACAATGTGCAACAATGTCAGAATACAACAGATCTTAGTGCCAGGACATTTTAAGTTTTTTAAAAAGTAAGTGGCTGGTAATATGAATACTTTTCTTGTGTCCTAAAGAGTACAAGTTCTGTACCTGGGGACCTGAATTCATAGAATCATTCAGTTGGAAGGGGCCAACAAGGCCATCAAATCCAACCCCCTGCTCAACGCAAGAATACAGTCAAAGCATATCTGTCAGGTGATTATCCAAGTTTTTCTTGAATGCCTCCAGTGTTGGAGCACTCACCAACTCCCGATGTAACTAGTTCAACTGTCGTACTGCTCTAACAGCGAGGAAGTTTTTCTTAATATTGAACCAAAATCTGGCTTCCTTTAACTTAAGCCCATTGTTGTGTGTCCTGCACTTTGGGATGATCGAGAACGGATCCTGCCCCTCCTCTGTATGACAGCTTTTCAAAATAAATAAATAAATAAAAAATAAATAAAAAAATAAAATATTTGAAAAGTGCTATAATATCACCCCTCAGTATTCTTTTCTCAAGGCTAAACATGCCCAATTCTTTCCGCTTTTCCTCATAATGCTTGGTTTCCAGCCCCCTGATCATCCTTGTTTCCCTCCTCTGAACTTGTTCCAATTTGTTAGCATCCTTCTTGAAGTGTGGTGTCCAGAAGTGGACACAATATTCAAGTGAGGCCTAACCAGCACTGAATAGAGGGGGACTAGCACCTTGTGGGATTTGGAAACTATACTTCTATTAATGCAGCCTAAAATAGCATTAACCAGTTTTTTTGTAGCCACATCACACTGTTGGCTCATATTTAGCTTGTGATCTACAATAATTCCAAGATCCTTCTCACTCGTAGTTTTGCTGAGCCAGGTATCCCCCATCTTGTAACTCTGCAATTGGTTTCTTTTTCTGAGGTGAAGTACTTTGCACTTATCCCTGTTGAATTTCATTCTGTTTCTTTCAGCCCAGTGCTCCATCCTATCAAGGTCATTTTTAATTTTGTTTCTGTCTTCTAGGGTATTAGCTATTCTACCTAATTTTGTATCATCTGCAAATTTGACAAGCACTCCCTGCACTCCCTCATACAAGTCATTAATAAAGATATTGAAAAGCACCAGGCCCAGGACTGAGCCCTGGAGTACTCCACTTGTGACCTCCTCTCAGTTAAAGAAGGACCCATTAATCATCACCCTCTGAGTACAATTCTGTAGCAAACGGTGTACGAGTATCCACCTGACACTTGATCTATCCAGCCCACACCTAGTTAGCGTGCTAATCAGAATATCATGGGGCACTTTGTCAAAAGCTTTGCTGAAGTCAAGATATACTATGTCTACAACATTCCCTCTGGGAAGGTTGTAGAAGTTCCCCAGGGAGGCGACCTGATCAAAAAAATGAGATCAAATTAGTTTGGCAGGATTTGTTCTTGACAAATCCGTGTTGGCTTGTAGTTATTACTGCAGTGTTTTCTAGGTGCTTGCACAATGACTGCTTTACGATCTGTTCCAGAATTTTGCCTGGGATTGATGTCAGGCTGACTGGCCTGGAGTTCCCAGGCTTTGCTTTTTTTTTTTTTTTTTTTTTTTGCTCTTTTTGAAGATAGGGGCAACATTAGCCCTCATCCAATCCTCTGGCACATCTCCCATTTCCCATGATTTCAAGAAAATAATGGATAGCAGTTCCGAGAGTTCTTCAGTCAGTTCCTTCAGTACTCTCAGATGCAGTTCATCTGGTCCTGGAGATTTGAACTCGTTCAAGGTGGTAAGGTAGTCCTTGACTACTTGTTTATCTATCTCCAGATACAAGCCTGTCTCCCCCACTTGCACTTCCAGTTTGTTTAGAAGTTCATAGTCTGTCTTATGGGAAAAGACTGAACTAAAATAGGAATTGAGCATCTCTGCCTTTTCTTTGTCCTCTGTTATCATTTTCCCATCTCCATTGTGGAGCTTTGCCACTATGACTTTTGCTACTCACATACCTGAAGAATGTTTTTATATCACTTTTAGTGTCCCTAGCTTACCTCAGGTCATTCTCAGCTTTTGCCCTCCTAATGCCATCCCTGCATTTCCTTGCTACTTGTCTGTACTCATCCTTGGTGGCTTGGCTTTCCACTTCCTGTATATGTCTTTTTTGGTTTTTAGGTCCTCCCTGGTTTTGGTTTTTAGGTCCTCCCTGGGATTTTTGTGAAGTCACACTGGCCTTTTTTGCATCCCTCACCTTTTTTTTCTTGTTGGAATTGTTGTAGTTGTGCCTCTAGAATTTCTTTTTTAGAAGCTCCCACCCTTCTTGATTATGATCTCCTGCCATGGGACCTTACCTATACTTTTTCTGAGATTATTAAAATTGGCTTTTTTAAAATCCAGCAGAAGTGTGTGGCTAACAATAGATGTTATAGATGAAAACAAAATAAAATTTAAAAAGACAAAAACATGGTGGCACTTTAAAAACTAACATATATTTTTAATGCAAGCTTTGTCAACAAGTCCACTTCATCAGAAATACTTCTCCATGAACCACAGAATCATAGAATCATAGAATAGTAAAGTTAGAAGGGGCCAGGTTTCCCCCTTTTTGCCCTCCTCTGAACTTGTTCCAATTTGTTAGCATCTTTCTTGAGGTCTAACCAGCGCTGAATAGAGGGCGACTAGCACCTTGTGGGATTTGGAAACTATTCTTCTATTAATGCAGCCTAAAATAGCATTAGCCTTTTTTGTAGCCACATCACACTTCTTTTCTGAGATGCAATACTTTGCACTTAACCCTGCTGAATTTCATTCTGATGCTTTCGGCCCAACTTGTAGGATAGATTAAGGAAATCATACTATTGGTGACTTGGTATCATTGCTGCATAAGTAGGGAAGCTCTAGTTGCTAAGAAGATATCAGAAAAACTGAAGCAGACCTTAAATGAATCAGCCAAAATTGTCAGTTTTATTTAAAAAAAAAAGCATATCACTGAACTCAAGACTTTTTGAACAGCTTTGTAAAGATATGGACAGTAAACACCAACTACATTTGCTGCACTGTGAAGTTCTTTGGCTATAACAAGGCAAAGTTTTGTTTCTAGAACTATTGAAGTATTGATCCTTTTGTAATGACATACTCATGCAAAAATGATTCTTTGCCATAGTTTATCCTAAAAATAAGTTTAGAAACCATTTTAAAAATGTAGTCAGAACACAGAATACAAGTTTAAGCCTGATATAAAAAGGCTTGTAACTGAAAGCACCAGCCTTCTCATTAATTATATGTATATATGTTTCCTTTATTCCCACCCAACTTTTATTCAATGAGATACAACTTTGTACAAATTATATACATGACATTTTCTAGCTTTCATTTTCAAGTGACGTTTTGTATGTGTGTTATACTGATAATTTTTTGTGCTTGTAATTTCAGTTTCTCCAGCAAGAATTAGATACTACTACTACTACTGCTGCTGCTACTACTACTACTACTACTACTGTTGTTGTTGTTGTTGTTGTTTGTTTTTGTTGTTGTTGTTGTTAAAAATACCAGGCACAGTTAATATAAATTATTGAAAAAATTACTGGTATTATATAACAGATACAAGTCTTAACCAAAAACCTAAGTATCTGTTAAATATTGGCACAATATGTATGCTGTTCCTAATATTGCCATTCTTTGTAGCTCTGATGCTGTTATTTTTGAAATCTGTAACTGCTTATAATACTGTTTGAAATAAGAGGAATGTTTCATCCAGAAGCAACATGTTTCGTTTGCTAGATATTTGTCTTTTGTTAGTTTTTCCAGTTCTTTATTTTTGATTCTGGCCTCCTCTGGAATTGCAATGTCAATAATCCAGACATTTCTTCATTCCATTACTACTATGTCTGGTGTGTTATGTTCAAGATATCTGTTAGTTTGGATCTGGAATTTCTTCAAGATTTAGACTTTGTCATTTTCTGACACTATCTCTGCCTGATGTTCCCATGGGTTCTTGGAGGCTGGCAATTTATATTTTTTGCATAATGACCACAGCTCTAATTTTGCCACTCTATCGTGTCTTATTTTGGAATCTATTTTTGCAATCTTTAGATATTCACAGATGAAGTCTGACACAGTTTAATCTTTTCCTTGGCAGTGTCAACATTTGCTGTTAGCACTAATTTCTTGAAACTTAGCTTTCATCTCATTGGTTTTGAGTGTTTGTTCTTTTGCAACAAAAATCTTTATTTTCAACTCTGGCATTCCCTAGAATTGCAATGTGATGAAGTGTATTTTTCTAATTAGAGATGGGTTATGTAGTCATGTTTTAACCAGAGAGAAATCCATTTTGAGTCTGAC